TTTTCACACCAAAAGTGAAATGAATAAGCCTCAGGCTGAAGGGAAAGTAAATTTACGTTCGTACAGTAGAATGCAGAAGAAGAAATTTCAACACACTTCAGCAATAAAAAAAGACACACAAATGTTGTCTAGAGTAATTTTTGCTTATTATTATGGTTAAACTGGATCATCGAAGGTCAGAAGCAAAGACATTGGTTAATAGAATGGGATTAAATACATAAAGGATATTTGTGTTGTTTAACATTTAATTATTGCAGGTTTGTGTCATATTCTGAGTTGCATTATTTTTATTCATTTTGAGGAAAACTGAATCTGTTTTTTTTTTTGTTGTTGTTGTGAGATGAATTAATGCATATTCATATTTATTTTAGAACTACAGTAACATCTTCTGATTTCTCTCAACATGGGAACAGGAGAGCTGTCAATCAATAAATTGAAAAAAAAAGTTACTTGCGTTACTTATTTGAAAAAGTAACTCAGATATTCTCTTGTAAATTAAAAAGTAAAGCGTTACTTTACTAGTTACTTGAAAAAAGTAATCTGATTACGTAACTCGTGTTACTTGTAATGCGTTACCCCCAACACTGAATACAAGACATTGTATCCTGTGTAAAGAAAACAAAGTCTGCTGGAATTGGAAGAAAGATGATTGCAAATGTTATTAAATATGACCTGAATCCTCAAAGGCTAAGGTAAGCCATAAACTACAGTAATACAGTGTGTGTGAGAGCATAAAGTTCAACATCCTTTATTTATACAGTGTGTATGAGAGCATAAAGTTCAACATCCTTTATTTATACATTATTATAATTTCTATCTATAATATAGAACAGGCTCACAATCTACTATTTAAGATAAGCTAAGTAATTACAAAATCACAGTAGAAACCAGTATCAGATAATTATATGTAGTACAAAAACACCTTGTTTCCTTATAGTAACAGCTAGATACAAAAATGTTTGCTTAGCTTCTCATTAACTATTAGACATAAAAAGCAAATACTTCAGTTCCTCTTCGTTTTACATACAGTTTTATTCTACAAGCTTGGCTTGTTACTGGTAATCTACTATTGCATTGTTACTATTACAAAATGTACAATTGGTGCACATTAACTACTTAGGACTCAAAGGTTAAAGGGGTTAATGTTCAGTTCAAATGGTACTTGAAAGTTCACAGCTCTATGAATCATTTGGCTTTTTTGGTAGAGGATCAGTTCCACACCACACTTAAGAGTGCAGGGGCCTGTGCTTCTGGTGTCCATTACATCTTCAGGTGGCTCTAAACAGCTAAAGTTTCTTTGGAACTAAAGAACCGTGGGCTGAAATAACACTAAAAGACTTAAAGTGAGGTACAGTACGTTCATTGTTGTGTTTCCCGGCAATCCTACCTTGGCAACCTGCAGAGGCTTCTGGTGCTCGATTCCTCCCTGTAGTCTGAAGCCCCATGGTGCTCCTCCGGATAGGGTGATGATAACTTCCTCAGCCACCATGGTGCGGTCTGTGCTTGCTTCTTTGATTCCGTTTGTTGGCCTGGGGGCCCTTAGTACCTACGGTCCATGTTATTTCAAGGCCCCATTAGAGAAGCCAACTACTACTGCAACTATGTCCTGGGGTTCCTTCTACCTGCTCTTGCGCGAATACGAATGCACATGGAACCCCTCCCATACCCTGAGCTGGATGCTGGTGATAGGGGTGCAGCCATAAAGGAAGCTAAAATAGAGGGGAAAGAGAAAAGATACCCAGCGTCTCCCTGTGCACTGGAATCTTGTGTTGGATGAAGGTAGAAGCTAGTTCACCACAGCTGTGCTGTCACTCACAGCGCTGGCTTAAAGGGAGGGGGGTACATTACTGATATAAAAATAGCTCTTTGCCTCTCTTGCTAAACGGTCAAGCTTTTTGACAAATTCAGAACAGCGACAAGTAGATTTAAGTCTGAAATTGAAAGAAATTAGTTATTTCACTTATGTTTACAATCTCTCATTGAAAAATAGCGCATACAATTTAATGTAACCTTCTTTTCAGTAAATGGTGGTCAAGGAATTAGATTACTGTCAATTGAGGTTTTCCTACGTTTTATATTATTACAATCAGGACCTTCTAATAGCGTGGGATGAATCACAGAGCTAGTTTGTTTTACCACTGCGTCTGTACACATACTGACAACAGACCTGTCCTCTTGGCGTCCAAACTGGGACACTTGTCCAATCAATCTTTCTTTAGGCATGCACGCACATGCCTGACCTGAGTAGGAAATTAAAAGAGACTTAGTGACACTTTATTTCCACATTCAGGATTTAGACATTGATCACCAGCAGGTCTAAAAGACATTTAGATGAAACATTTCTGTACTTTCTATTCATCAAAGAATCCTGAAAACAAAATGTATGTTGTTTCAACAAAAATACTGAGCAGCACAACTGTTTACAACATTGATAACAATAAGAAATGTTTCTTTAGCACCAGCATATGATGATTTCTGAAGGATCATGTGACACTGAAGACTGCAGTAATGACTGGAGAAAATTCAGCTTTGGCATCACAGGAATAAATTACATTTTAAAATATATTACAATATAAAACAGTTGTTTTAAACTGCAGTATTACCGTTTTTACTATATATTTGATCAAATAAATGCAGCATTAGTGAGCATAAAAATGCTGCGTGACAGCTGTGATTCTGATGAAATAAGAGCTACTCAGACAACATTGCCTTAATGTAGTAAATAAATAAGACATTTCTGTTTAATGCCCTAAACCAATGAGCTCTAAAAAGCTTCAGGCAGGTACAGTAGCCTACGTGGGTGCTTCTAGTCGTGCAAGCTCAATTTCTTACATCCTTGTTTTCCGAAATATCAGAATTCATCAGTTAAGCATGCAACTGCAAAGTCCACGCATTTGCGTTCGTCTCTACTTCAAATGCACGCTGAGCAGGAGAGCAAAGACAGTGATGTTGAAATGTTTTATTAAATACTTCCAAATGTTTCAATAACAACAAAGCTATGATGGTTTAACAACATTCAAACAAACACTTGATAGATTTAAATTCATAGTTTTATTAATTATATGGTCATGCAAAAATCCAGCATCCAATTAAACCTCAGAGTATAAGCATATGTAGTCCCATCAATGCAAAAAACTAACAAGAATGGGGAAACATACCAAGCTAAAGCTTTGTTAATCTCTTTTAGTCCATTTCTTTACAAAATTAGCTTTTGATTGTAGCATTGGAAACCAACCAAGCCACATTTCATTTACCTTGAAGATGCAGGGAATATATACATAATTCAATTCTAATTAACACAGACAGTGAAAAGTATTACCAGAAAGTTACACATGCATATTTTCCTTCTGCTGAACTGCATATATGGTTTGGATGTGGGAGTTATTTAGTTCAGGAATTATTCACTTCGCATACAAAGGCGTTTGTGTCCATCTAACAGTCATAAGAAATACAAGAACTATGAACTCCTGCATCTGGAAACATCTCTTAATCATTTACATTTTTTATGTATGTGTGACTGACTAAACTGCACTTTTTTTTAAACAAGGACACTCATATCTGAGAGGACGCACTATGAGTGACAGAAGTGGCCAGAGACTAGGGCTGAACACACTGTTATAAGACACACTACAGCAGGGACAGTATGAAGATATGGCAGACATCACAGTGCCAGACGGTTTCATCTGTGGACAAGTGAACTCACTAACAAGATGCCTTAGGGTAGGAGTACTCTCTTTCCTCCCTTTTTTGAACATATAGAGTTGGGTGCAAAGTTTGCCCAACTTTAAAAGGTAAAATGTCACAAGAAATGGCTTAGCACAGAATAAAAGGGGGAACGTTAAACCTCCACAATTCACACACAGGAATCTACATAATAACACAGTCAAGAACAGTGTTCAGATGTATGACAGTCACACAGATAAGCTTTAAAGGGAGCACAATGTGTCCATGTGCTTTAACACACCCAAAACAACATTTTTTTTTAACTACGTGAGTTGTTTACCAAAACAGCGAGTTGTGTGTACTGAAAGTCTGTGAGTCTACGGGCATCTGGATGAAGATGAATGGCTAAGCGTTCCCGATTCATCCCTCATCAATGATCTGCATTAGTATTTACAGGTTATACTGGAGAAAAAAAAAATAAAACAAGATCAACATACCCAGAACAGATTCTACCATAGAATGGACCCCAAAACACCATGGAACTGCATTCATCAAATCATTTTCATTCAAATCCCTGCCTATAGATGGTCAGGTGATCTTAACAAACCACAATCAAGTCTTCTAAAGTCACAATGTATGATGATGAGACAACGTAAACAGCATCAGAACAAGTGTACAAACACTCATGGAGAGATAATGTGACAGTTTGGGTCTTCTTCTAGAGCATGGACCCCTAAGGATGGATTTCATAACCTGAAGTTGCAAAGCAGTCCACAAAAAGTGAACAGAACAGCATAGAGTCTCAAGCTTATGTGCAAAACAGTACAGGCCATTTTATTTGTTTTTTGTTTTGTTTTTCTCGACATGCTTATAGTCTAAAAAATGATATGCACAGCAGCTGGAAGCCTAAAAGGTGAGCAGAGTAACTCTGGGAGGGAGAGCAAGGGTTATGATGAGCATGTCGTGTATAGTGTTTAGCGCCCCCTGGGGACCAAGAGACATACAACAAACTCGATTCAAAGAAAGTGAGGGTTCTGCAACTTCAGGTTCAGAGAGCCTAGAGGTTATGGGTGCAAACATACAGGAAGGCAAGTAAACCAACCCAACTTGAGTTCAGGCCTCATGTGGAAGTGTGTGTTAAGAAGATTTACGCAAAACACTACATAGCAACAAGCATCTTGAACCCAAGAAAAAACATTTATACGTACACAAACACACACATCACCCCCCCAGACACCACATACTGTTTTGTCCTTTCTCTTTTATAAATATCTATTTATGCACAACTATATTAAATCGTGTCCCACTTTAAAACAATTGTCTTGAAAACACAAAATACTTTCAAATACCGCATCATTCAGAAGATAAAAACCAAGAGATCCACCAAAACACGACAGAAAGCCAGAAAATAAATCTTCCCCAACCCCATTCCTCAATTTCAAAGAAAATAAAAGCAACATTAAAACATCCTCTTCTCAACGTCTAGAGTCTACACTTTGGTGCTTCAACGTCTGATACATTTTTTCGTTCCCTCTGATATGCCATGCCACCACATTCTTTGCGTAAAAAGAAAAGAAAAACAAAACAGAAAAATGTTTTCTTAAATGTAATAAACTCACATCATTTACCCTTAAAACGGCGTGTGCTCTTCAACGATTCACATTTCTGATTCTAACTTCCATCTCTACTGGCTGTTAATTACACAAGTGAAGATCTCAGTATTTTACAATATATTACTAATAATTTTAAACACCATTTCCGAATGTTGGGCAGCAGACAGTATGGGATTATGGGTAAAGACAATACAGCGCCCCGTGTGGGCATTAGAAGCATGCAGCATCCAGAAGGCAGGGCTGCTGCCGTGGCTGCCCGCCCCACATCTAGCTAGAGTTGGACTGAAGTGGTGGCCGCTTTTAAATATATTTCTTAGTTGTGTCAATTTTTTCCCTCACGTTTTCAAAACTTCAAGAGGTTCTCTTCTGGCCGGGCTCCAGGCGGCAAGACGTGCACGGAGAAGAAATGCTCCAATCAGCTTTAGTATTCAGGCATGCTAATGGAGAGAATATAAAAAAATACTAAATAATGTTTCACTTGTTTTGTTGGCACTAAGGTGTTTGTCAATCCGTACCTTTGCCCTCTGTGATTCACTGTAGAGGTGCGGCAGGAGCTCCAGAGCAGTGGAAGTGGATGTTGAGCCACTTGGCATCTCGGCGGTGCCACACGCGTGTCTCCTCCGACTGGCTGCTGCGTGCCCGGCCCTGGCTGTCCATGTACTGTGTCAGTCGGATATAGGCGATGCAGGCGGCGTCCTCTCCAATCAGGTGCACGTGAGGGTTCAGGATGGTTGTATGCACAGGCTTACTGTTCTTACTCAGCACTGTAGTCAAACACAGGCAGCAGACAAAGATATATTCAGTTATCTACACCTAACAGGTTAGCTTTAATACCTTTTAACTCAGGGCTGTCCAAACCTGTTCCTGGACGGCCACTATCCTGCAGAGTTTAGCTTCAACCCTAAATAAACACACCTGAGCCAGTTAACCAAGGTCTTCAAACTCACTAGAAACCTCCAGGCAAGTGTGTTGGAGCTGGTTGAAGTTAAACTCTGCAGGACATTGGCCCTGCAGAAAGCATGTTATTAATAGGTACAGCAAATGTATACAACTTTATTGGACACTAGTACATTAAAAGCATGGGGCTTACAATTCTCAAAGTAGAACTTATGGAAGTCCATTCCCTCAACCAGGTTTCCAAGTGCCTCGGGCTCAAAAGAGGTCAGGCCAGGGTCACAGATCCTCCTGGAACAGTAAAGGTTACTGAGATGACAATGCAAACTACTATTCGGTTTTTGACTCAATACCCCCCAAACATCTAGAATGTTTAATTTTACACATTTAAAAATGGGAAGTATGGAAATTGGCATAATCTTACCTAAAAGGCACAAATTTGCGCATTATTACAAAAATGATTTTTTGGTCATTTTAACAGGTTGTTCATTTAAAATAAATATTTCATCAAATGTTTCATGCATGTTATAAGCAAACATGCTTGTGCTTTTTAAGATACAATACCCACTTAAAATGCTGATAAAACAAGATTTTCAAAAATATTTCGTCATCATAAATAAGGTGTTTGTACCTGTAATTTAATACAAGATATTGTATTTGCTGTATGAGCTATATTAATGCTTACAGATTTTGTTGTCTATTATTTGTGTACTTTCTCAAGTTTGGTAGAAAACTATTCCAGAAATGTATGAAATCATCACTTATGCATGTTATACCCCAGAAAGCATGATTTTAGTTCAATTTATAAGTACTTCAAAATCTACCAACAAAAATTATGAAAATCCATAAGATGCACAGTGCAAACAAATCTGTGTAATCAGTTGTATGGCAGATGAAAACAGCACATATAAACAGTACTTACGTGTAAGCTTCAAAATCTCCGTTGTTGATGGCCTCAATCAGCTGCTCTGTGATTTTAATGATCTCCTGCTTTCGTGCTGGTGTTTGGAGGAATAGAAGGAACAATCAAGTTTTATCCACAACCATTATTTAAAAATCACAAACCAACTTTTTGTTCCTAACTATCTACTCTTGAAATCTCACATTCAGCTCAGCATACTATTAGTTGTGAATGGTGCTGTCCTTCAAGATAAGCACTATTTTCCTAGGGACCCTGATTTTAGTATAAGCAGGGGTCTTGGATGATTTATATGTAAGGGATAATGTACATCCAGCCGGTTGTTATCGCAGATTAACACGTTTAAAATAATAATCCCTTCGGATTGACATGTTTCGCTAGAGAACTGTTATAGGGTGTGAACTGCTGGGACTTTGGTAAAGCCAGAGGGACTGTCAGGATTTACATTTAGAAAAACAAAACAAAACTTAAAGGTGCTGTATGTAGGATTGACACCGAGTGGTTGAACTAGGTATTGCAGTCCAAATTCAAAATATTGGAGCGGGTTTTTTTCACCCGGTCGCTCCTCCTCAGACTTGAAGCACACGCAGGTTGCCAGATTGACGACACCAACACTTTCGTTTGCCAGCTTCCATGACTGAAATGAAATACGCTGTGTTTCCCGCCAACCAGCAACCCGGGGTGCCGAAATACAATTGGGTAAACTGGTAGTGGGCGGGTTTCACAAACCAAAACAGAGACCGACATTCCGGCCCGGAACGTACATTTTCAAAGGAGAATAACTGACTGTAGCATTGTTTTTCAGATAAACAAGTATGTTAACTTAGCATGTTTCTTAAATATCTGCAAACATATGGTATTTTTATGCTTTAGTAGAGTCAAAAACTTACATACAGCACCTTTAATTATATTTGTCACTAAATCAACAGTCTAAGACTTACACTGCTGCCTGTGCACGCTGCTGCCCCCTGGTGTTGTGGAGGCTGAAGCAGGTACAGCAGGCTCTAAATCAGGACAGGAGCTCTGACCTGAACTGCTCCAAGCTACATTCTTAACATCATGTGGTGGATCGGCTGCAAGACAACGGCACAAATAAACAAAGCTGCAACTATGCACACAGAGATGCTAGGCCACAGCAAAACAAAAGTATGACAAACAAAATGAGTACTACATTTACATTTAGTCATTTAGCAGACGCTTTTATCCAAAGCGACTTACAAATGAGGACAATAAAAGCAGTCAAAACTAACAAAAGAGCAACAGCTCTACATAGAGACACATGCTGCCTTCAGAACAGTATACTACCTTACTACGGCTTCAGTATATAGTACTGTATGTATATGGTGCACAATATGCAAATTTTCTCTATGCATGAAATATCTGGATAACCTATTACATTTGACAGTATGTGCAGTATTAAACAGAGATTACTGTGTGGAATACTACATCCCACAATGCAATGCATTCAAATGCACCTTTCATTTCTATTTATTTTCACCTTTCTATTTCTATTTACCAAAAGAAATTAATTGTTTTCTTTTCTTGACTCATTATCTGATCAGAAAATTGTCTACAAAAATATATACAAAATTAAAATGTTTTACTTATACATTTAGATTTTATTTCCGTATATTCAGTTAGTAGTAAGCTAGTGTTCTGTTCCAAACATTCAGTCACTAATTCATACATCCAGATCAGTGGTTCTTAACCAGGGGACTGGGGCCCACTAGGGGCGCTTGGGGGCGGGGGGTTGTGTGCTTATTTGTAAATGCTAACAAATAAACACATAAAAACAAGATGTAAACCATCCTATAACGGCTGAGAACCACTGACCAAGATTATATCATATGCTACATAGAATATCAAGCTAATGCAATCGATGCTTAAACCACTGCACTGCTATTTACTGCATGTCACACAGAAAACACTGAAGAAATAAATTCAGTAATTAGATGATTACTGAATTTGATTAATGAACAGAAAACATACACACTGGCAGAACTGATAAGTATGAAAACAGAATTACAGTAGCAATACTGCAACATACTGAATCAGAGAGCTGGTAGCGTTTGTTTGAACAGTCCAGCAGATGGTGGCAGATCTCATGGTTTTTTTAAACAGAAACCTGCAGCAGTCTGGTTCAATGGTTTGAGCAGCCGCTGAACTCAACATGCAGCCAAGACAGAGATACAAAGACGATACAACAGAAGCATAAGCGGTAGGCATTAATGAAGAACACGAGGAGTAATAGCCACACAGATCTATGCACAGTATGTGCATGTGTTGAGAGATGTCTGTCATGTACAGTCCCAGCACGGGCCCTCTGCTCATCTGTCACACTCAAAGTATTCAGTGTCACACAGATAAATAAATGAAAAGGTCACTCTGACTGAGAAGGTCAGTGCAATCCTTTCCATGTCAGAGGTGAGGATGTACACGAGTACAGGGCAAAATGGTAGACTCACTGCGAGAGACTCAAAATTAGGTGACGATCTCTGTCCTTGATTGTGCTAATAAGTGTACAATGCCGATTACAGCAGATCATGTGGCATGCATTTTTATTTTTAAGTACTACAATGACAATATTATTGTCTTGAAAGGGTCATATCATAAGGAATAAAATTTTCCTTGATTTTTAATTCATATTATACTACAAAAACATACTGTAACTTAAACTTAAATTTTAACTTTTACTTTCTACTCAACCGCAACCTTCCTGCATCACACAGACACAGATGAATACTTTAAATACAGTATTCAGTATACTTATATAACATCCGTTTATGCTTCACATCTGAGCAGCAAATATGCTGCCCATGTCTGAGTGGACAATTCATAAAGCAACAAAAATTGTTTAATTCAAGGGTCAGAGAGAGGGTGCTAAATAAACTGAACTAATGTTTTTGTGGAAACAAAACTAATAAAAACAATACATCAACAATACAAATAAAATGTATCATATGACCCCTTTCATAATGACACCAAACCATAAAATTAGGGCATTTAACAATGTAGAAGTCCAGTGAGTCCATCTCAGCCAGATTTATTTTTAGCATATTAAGTAATGACAAGGTTAGAAAGGTGAGAAACTAAGTTAGAAGTGGGAACAGTGAGACGGAGAATGTAAGGTAGAGATCAGATGAGTCCAAGAGGGAGTTGTAGAAACAGCTGATAAGTTCACTGCTGTAGCAGTTGACTTACTGGGCGGTGGGCAGGGGGGAGAGGCCTCGGGTTGAGGAGCTGGCTCCTCAGAGGCACTGCACTGGTTCACCACTGCACTGTCATTGCTAGCCCCACCCACCGATACTGACAGACAATTAGGGGGAAAAATGTGACATTTGTTGTGGTAAGTTATACCACAAGCCTTGTTCCAGCTTGGCTTTTGTGCTATATTTATATATGAAATGATGACACAATGTGCATGATAATCGTCCAAAAATAACAACAGCAGACACAATAGAGTACACAAAAAACACATGCTAAAACATAATGTTCATGCAACTTAAAAGCAAAAAGCAATTACTATAAAGGGTAAAATTATGTGAAAAAAAATGTAAATTCAAAATAAGCAATATTTTCTAAACCCTGAAGTCTCTAATACCTCTATACAAGGACATGTTATACAACTGTTTGTATTTACACAGTTTTAGAAAAAGCTGAAAGACTTCTCTGTCTGGGACATACAGTATTTTCACCCTGGTATAGAATGTGAGATCTCTCTGCTATGACGCAAGTGAATGGTTTCTGAGGTTTATCCCTCAGAGACCCACTGTTGGAAGAACCGCAACAGTTATTTAAAGCAATTAAATACTTAATAAACAAATAAATGTGAGATAAAACTAGGTAAAACAGGTACATTTTGTTACCTTGAAACCCGATTATGAAAACTGTCTAACATTTTTTTCCAAATTCATCCCAAAACAAAAAATGGATATAACATCATGATGACAAGTTTTATGCAGTTTGTGTTTTAAACAGTTTGATATAAATACACACACAACTATTCAAAAGTTTGGGCGTGGTAAGATTTTAAAATATTTTTGAAAGAAGTCTTTTCTACTTAGCACGGCTGCATTTAATTGATCAAAAATACAGTGAAAAGAGTAATATTGTGAAATATCATTACAATTTAAAATAACAGCTTTATATTTTTATCTATTTTGAAACTTAATATATGCCTATAATGGCCGAATGTTCAGCAGTCTTCAGTGTCACATGATCCTTCGGCAAAATGGTAGACTCACTGCGAGAGACTCAAAATTAGGTGACGATCTCTGTCCTTGATTGTGCTAATAAGTGTACAATGCCGATTACAGCAGATCATGTGGCATGCATTTTTATTTTTAAGTACTACAATGACAATATTATTGTCTTGAAAGGGTCATATCATAAGGAATAAAATTTTCCTTGATTTTTAATTCATATTATACTACAAAAACATACTGTAACTTAAACTTAAATTTTAACTTTTACTTTCTACTCAACCGCAACCTTCCTGCATCACACAGACACAGATGAATACTTTAAATACAGTATTCAGTATACTTATATAACATCCGTTTATGCTTCACATCTGAGCAGCAAATATGCTGCCCATGTCTGAGTGGACAATTCATAAAGCAACAAAAATTGTTTAATTCAAGGGTCAGAGAGAGGGTGCTAAATAAACTGAACTAATGTTTTTGTGGAAACAAAACTAATAAAAACAATACATCAACAATACAAATAAAATGTATCATATGACCCCTTTCATAATGACACCAAACCTTAAAATTAGGGTATTTAACAATTTAGAAGTCCAGTGAGTCCATCTCAGCCAGATTTATTTTTAGCATATTAAGTAATGACAAGGTTAGAAAGGTGAGAAACTAAGTTAGAAGTGGGAACAGTGAGACGGAGAATGTAAGGTAGAGATCAGATGAGTCCAAGAGGGAGTTGTAGAAACAGCTGATAAGTTCACTGCTGTAGCAGTTGACTTACTGGGCGGTGGGCAGGGGGGAGAGGCCTCGGGTTGAGGAGCTGGCTCCTCAGAGGCACTGCACTGGTTCACCACTGCACTGTCATTGCTAGCCCCACCCACCGATACTGACAGACAATTAGGGGGAAAAATGTGACATTTGTTGTGGTAAGTTATACCACAAGCCTTGTTCCAGCTTGGCTTTTGTGCTATATTTATATATGAAATGATGACACAATGTGCATGATAATCGTCCAAAAATAACAACAGCAGACACAATAGAGTACACAAAAAACACATGCTAAAACATAATGTTCATGCAACTTAAAAGCAAAAAGCAATTACTATAAAGGGTAAAATTATGTGAAAAAAAATGTAAATTCAAAATAAGCAATATTTTCTAAACCCTGAAGTCTCTAATACCTCTATACAAGGACATGTTATACAACTGTTTGTATTTACACAGTTTTAGAAAAAGCTGAAAGACTTCTCTGTCTGGGACATACAGTATTTTCACCCTGGTATAGAATGTGAGATCTCTCTGCTATGACGCAAGTGAATGGTTTCTGAGGTTTATCCCTCAGAGACCCACTGTTGGAAGAACCGCAACAGTTATTTAAAGCAATTAAATACTTAATAAACAAATAAATGTGAGATAAAACTAGGTAAAACAGGTACATTTTGTTACCTTGAAACCCGATTATGAAAACTGTCTAACATTTTTTTCCAAATTCATCCCAAAACAAAAAATGGATATAACATCATGATGACAAGTTTTATGCAGTTTGTGTTTTAAACAGTTTGATATAAATACACACACAACTATTCAAAAGTTTGGGCGTGGTAAGATTTTAAAATATTTTTGAAAGAAGTCTTTTCTACTTAGCACGGCTGCATTTAATTGATCAAAAATACAGTGAAAAGAGTAATATTGTGAAATATCATTACAATTTAAAATAACAGCTTTATATTTTTATCTATTTTGAAACTTAATATATGCCTATAATGGCCGAATGTTCAGCAGTCTTCAGTGTCACATGATCCTTCAGAAATCATCCTAACATGCTGATTTGCTGCTCAAGAAACATTTCTTATTATGAATGTTTAAAACAGTTGTGATGTGTAATATTTTTGTGGAAACCGTGATACAGTCTCAGATTGTTTGATGAATAAAATAAAACGTTTAAAGGGGCGTTTACTTGAAACATAAATATTTTATAACATTATAAAAGTCTTTACTGTCACTTTTAAATCAAATTAATGCATCCTTGCTGATAAAATTACTCATTTCTTTTAAAAAAGCTTGGGTCTCTGAGGGTTAGGTCCCAGTTATTGTGTGTATTGTGTGTACTTATAGTGTTATAGTGTTAAGTAATGAATGATCCTAAAGCTCTAGTGACCTATTAAACCTAAACCTATTAAACTTTAATAGAAGTGGTTAAAATAAGGTAAAGTTTTATTATCTAACAGCCGTCAAAAGATAATATAAAAGCTCAGAATAACTTAGAATTTAACAAAAAGACCAATCCGATGATGAATGATGCCAAGGTTGTGTATAATTGAGTTGAACTGTGTAATATTGCCGTGCTATAATAAATCACCATGTGACTCTGTTAGACATCATACTGTGTGACGTGATACAGAGGCTCTGTCAAAAGCGGTGTTTGTTGTCTGTAAAGGTCAGTGCAGTAAAACGAATACTACCTCAGATATTGTGGACATTCATTATACGAACACAAAATGATAGCAATCAGTCAGTCTGACCCTGTTTTGGTGCCTTATACTACACTATAGCTGCTGCTGTAATGACCAGCAATGTATCTACAGCTGATGAGCTGGATGTCAATGCACACGCAAAGCAATTATCATGCCATGAGGGCCCCTTCACCACACAGGAATAAATCTCACTGTCTGCCTGTATCTGTATCTATTTATTCCCTCTGGCCCTCATTACCACTATTTCTCTTTAAGTGTTGGGAAAGTGTACAACTCTTGACCCCATTTACACCTGGTAATAAAGTCTGTCCAAAGCATTTCATGATCCTTTTACTGAAATCACATTCAGAGGTAGTCAAAAAACATTGAATTTGTAGTATAAAATGCATAAGGTTTTTATTCACAAATTAACAATGATCAACACACGTAGTGCTCATCAAATATGGTAAACGGAAACTCAACTGTACTTGCTTGACACTCGATAACAAATCTCATTAGTTCATGTGCATCAAGAAAACACATTTGGGCCTCCGTTTACCATATTTGATGTGCGTTGATCAATGTTTATACGTGAATAAAAGCTAAATGAAATCTGTTTATCATATACAGTGACCGTGTTTCTTCAAAAGACTTGAATTAAACTGCTCGATTAATACGGATTTCTTTTACCATCTTTATGAACTTTGTAACGCATCAATGGGCTTTCAATGGAGGGACAGAAATCTGTCAGGTTTCATTCATAGTATATTCGTTTGTGTTTCTGAGATCAATTAAAATCTTATGGATATGAAAACAACATGAGGGTGAGTAAATGGAACACACTCATGGCAGTTCGTAACTTTTATATTTTGGTGAATTGGTGGCAAATTCAGATGAATTCATACAATCTCATTCATACATTTTTTGTACAATCTGAAAATGGGCAATCTGATGGGCAAACTTAATCCTGGAGGGCTGGTATCCTGCAGAGTTCAGCTCCAACCCTAATCAAATACACTTGAACCAGCTAATCAGTGTCTTCAGGATTACTAGAAGGTTGCAGGCAGGTGAGTTTTCTCAGGGTAGGTCTAAACCAGGGGTGTCCTGGAGGGCCGGTGTCCTGCAGAGTTTAGCTTCAACTTGTCTCAACATACCTGTCTGGAAGTTTCTAGTATGCCTAGCAAGAGCTTGATTATCTGGTTCAGGTGTGTTTAATTAGGGTTGGTCTAAACTCTGCAGGACAGTGGCCCTCCAGGGCCAAGTCTGCGGATGCGGAGCTCATATATATCTATGTTTCAACGATACCATCTGATGTCGGACTACTTGGTCAAACAATAATCTCAGTGGATAATTACAATTTGCAAAAGGAATGTTTGGAAATCTAAAACTGATATTACCTACTGACACACTTAGGCAAAAGATACATATAGTCTTGAAAGCAACATTTTGGTGAAGCATCTTTTGCACAGAACTGTTGTAATCACAAAATCAAAGACCCTGCCCACAAAATTTGTTGTTACAGGACAGATCTAAATATCAGGTGTAAAAAGGGTCTTTAATACACTAACTAATGGCCTTTTTAATTAATATTTGCACCAATACACACACACCCCTTTCTGTAGATCCCAGAGAACAAGAGAAAGACATGCAGAATACATGAGGAGTTGATAGTGTACCTTTCCTACCTTTCATGTCCTCCTCTTCTGTGGTGTTACAGCTCTCTGTAGACCCCTGTGACGAGAGAGATACAATGTGCAAGATGGAGGGTTGATCGTAGGATGGTGGGAAGACGGGAAAAGAAGTATAGAAATACAGGTTTGCAGACAGGGTCTATAAACTATGTGGAACAATATACAGTGCACACTGTAAATCAGCAAATACACACATATAAAGAACCACCCGCAAGCACAGATATACCCCAGCACACCCTCACACACAAACTGAGCTCTCACAGAAACACACCAAGCCCTGCACAAACCAGCCAACCCAGCATGAGGGCAAGCCCCCTTCATTTGAGTGATATTTGTGAAGGTTAGGGGAAGTAGCTCAAATGACTGGTGTTCAGTGCAGAGCTAAAAGAGGTGGCTTACCTTGATGCCATCGGCTGGATTGTGCATGACAGTGGTCTGTGGTTCCTGGGGGAGGCAGGAGAGAGTTTACCATGCAGGGCTGAGGCAAGAGGGTGTAGGGACCCTAACTCCACAACTAGCATGATGAGACTGTACTACTGTCATGATTGTCAGTAGCCAGAATGTACATCAAACGCTGACATTGGGGAATTCTGCATTTGAGTTACTTAGGTTAATAATATGTATCCACCTTTTTCTTGCCGTAAAAATGGGCGAGGCCATTTGTAAATTCTATGGGTCTAGCTTCCGGTCTCATTGGCGTTCAGCTATTTTTAGCTGTACAAAATCGCTCCTTTTGCTGCTTGATATTGAAAATTGGTGTGTCTTACCATATTATTTTAATGTATTATCTTAATTATGAACACACTGGTTTGTAGTGCAAACAGTTTTACGTTGTTATTCTTCTCGTTATTTCCCTATAGCGGCTAATGAACCCATAGGCTTACTTCCGCGTTGAAGAAAAAGGTGGATACAGTGGCCCAAAATGTAAAATATACAAAAAGTGATATTTACTATTATTTGCTTGTATGTTTTTATGTTAAACAAACAAACAAGCAAGCTTGTGCTGTATTTCTTTAAAATAAATGCTACTTGTGTTAGTGTTTTGTTATAGCATGTTACACTCATGTTTGCTAACCAGAAATAACAGTAACAAACAAATAAAATAATAAATAATAATTAATTAATATAAATAATTTAAAAACTAATAAATAAATAAACATGCCTGTGCCTGTGATTTTTCTTTAAAATAAAATGCCACTTGGCTTGGTGTTTTGTTATATAATGAACATGATCTAGTAAAGTTTGACAATCAATCAATCAATCAATCATAATGTGTGATGTCCAGAAATAGTGATTAATAAAAAAAAAATAAAAAAATAAAAATTTGGATTTATTACACTTGTTTGTGCTATATTTCTTTTAAATAAATACTACTTGGTCTGTTGTTTGATAACCAGAAATATCAATAACAATAAATAAAATATTCAAATAAAAAATTAATTCATTAATGTAAAAAAAAATATGCTACATGCAATGGTATACATACATGTTTAAGTGTGAGTTAGGTGTCTAAATACTTTGAGGCCACTGGACACAATAACTACAATTTTTGTAAAGAAGGACATTATACAACTGAAGGTCAGTGGATATGCAAGCAAGGACTGGGTACAGTTAACCACAGAAACACAGTGGAAGAAGTATTCATTAAGCTTGACGAGACTCTCTCCAAGACCAACCCCAGTCACCAACAGCACACAGACATAACAGAAATGATTAACACTGCACAAACAGTTAGCTTTCAATGCCACAGTATGTTATTTCTCCTGAAAAAACAAAGCATTGATCCCACCTTTGCACATTCACACCCCACATATAAACAAACGGTCTTGCGCACTAGATTCTACTTTATTTACACCACCACTAACACAACACCCTCTAATAAGCAACCTGTCAATGCAGACTTGAAGATGCAGTCCCTACATGCTGAAAGGCAATTATAAATTCATTCCCTCTGACGCATTTCAGACAAAAACCCTCATCGCCTGTCAGCCCGAGCAACTTCAAGGTCTGTGCGGGAGCAGGATGGGCACACTTGTCAATCACAGAGTGTAGCATGAGGACAGGGACACTGTAGTGTCCAAAAGTCTGAGACCTTACTGAACATTTAAAACACAGAACGAAACTGACATAACATGAATATGGAGTTGAGGACAAAACCAAACACTGAGATATACTGAATTTAATATTCAAATAATACTCAATTAAACATTATATATATATCTCAATTAAATATTTTGGTATTTAAATTGTTTTTATTCACATTTTATGCTGATAATATATAATGATCTCAGACTTTTAGATGTCTCGTGTCCTTTGAAGGCTGTAAACTGGGCCGTACCTGTAACAGCCATTCGTCAGTCAAAGGAGCAATTACCCATAATGCAAAGTCAGGGATTGCATCTTCAGAACAAACAGAACAGCTCTGCTTCCTGATATAAAATGATCCTGTTTTACCCTTGGATACTCGACTGAGATTAAGAGAAGGTGCAACTAGGGTTTATCTACATTCCACTAGCCTAAAAAGGTGTCATCTCACTTTAATATGGCCAGAGCAAAAAGAAAAGTTATCTGAAGTTGTTTTAAGTACAGGGTTTGTCTGTTACGCTGTCAAACTTCTCCTGCGAGTTTGTTTGGGTAAAATAGGAAGCCAGAGAGAAATCCACAGGCACAAACCAGATGTTTTAGTTCAACTCATCAAAAACCATGAGCAACGTCACACATCTTCATCTGAGTGGATTGAGCAATGGGTGGTGGAAGTCAAAACAACAGGTATGGGACAAACTGATAAAGCCTTTTACTAAACATAGACTTAAGGACTAAGAATAGGCAAGACTATGAGTGAAAGAAATAAAAAGTTAAGATGAGGTACCATTGGTGCGGTGGATGATATGCTGCTGTCTTTGGTGCTGCTGCTTACTACACTGTTTTTGTTGTTGTTTGTCTGTGGCTGGGGCAAAAACAAAACAAAACAAAAATGACAACACAAAATGACTTTTGTTTAGTGGCATTCAAGAACCGACAGCCTCAACTCATACTCGACATGTCGAGCAACAGTACAGCACGTAAGGGGACCTGTATGGGTAAATTTGCTTAGAAGTAAGAGAACACTCATGTAATGTGCCCTTTAATGATACACTTTGATGAAATAAGCAGTTTTAGCTGTACTTGACTTAATGAAAGATGCTCAACTGTATGGTCTTGTTTTTGTGAGAGGTACGCAGATTATACGAAATGACAGATTTAAACTACCGATGGTGGATAATAGTACAAAATGAAAAATAATGAAGCAATTCTCATGCATCTGTAAATCACATTACAGTTCTTGATAAAAACAAAGATAAAACATGGAGGCTGTACAAAAGTAGCCAGTAAGCTTCCTTTACATGGTTATGTTCTTTATTGTTATACGATATAATTGGGCAGTGGTTTTGTAACTGTTCAATAAAATATGACTACAGAGAATAAAGCATATCATTTAATTTTTAAAATGTTTTATTTTTTTAATTATTTAATAATAATAATAATAAAGTGAATTCAGTAAATGTGTATGTAAGCATCTTTCAAACATCTATGTGGAGAGAATTTGTTACAGTGTTGATAAATGTGTAAATATATTTATATATATTAGAATATATCAATGAAGATGGATACAACAGTTCCTCCAGTGCCAAAAAACAGAATCAAATCAGAATCAAATAAATGTTTTAAGGCTACAGATAAAGTGTTTGGCATTTACAAAAATATTTAAATAGACTATTTTGTTGGCACTGTAACAACAACTAGAGGCCAATGTTACTGTCATGGAGCCACAAGACCCTGATAGTCCACTAGTGCATGCAGTGAAAAGCTTCAGCGAGAAGAGTTTACGCTCAGACCTCTGACTCTGTGAATCAATGCAGGGTACAACTTATGATTAAAAAAAAGAACAAAGTCTGACTATAGGAAAGAAAGAAAAGAGGCGTCGGTAAAACAGAGACGATTCTTGAGAAGAATGTTCAAGAATCCTTACAGAAAGATTCAACAGGTTAACAAACCTGATGAGGCTAAAACAAAACGGCCATGTCTAACTCACAGACATCAACTGCTGCTGCTGTAATTTACTTTCAATCTCTTGACCGACAGAGGAAAATGTATTTATTCTTCGAGGGAAAAAAAATTCACTGAAATCCATATGGATAATTGAACATCATTATAATTAAACATCATCACAATAAAAAAATAAAAATAAAAAAGATAAATAGAAAAAAATACTTTTTTTTTTAATCGTAACAAGGGGCTTATCACTTGTTAGGACAAACCTGATGTCACAGCCACTGCAGCTATTACCATGGCAACAGAAATGGCCTGACACACTATGGACTGTGGGAAAAAAGGGAGTTCCAGTGAGAGAAAGGCTTGATTGTCTGTGTCTTTAGACAGTCTGTTCCAATAACATTTAAATTCTCTCTTTCCTATTGAAGAGCACCAAGTAAGAGTCCTTTGTCCACTCTGAGCAAACTTCAGCCCTGGTTATAATTGGCTACATGCTACTGATTCTAAAAGACCCATGAAAGTGAAGAGAGTCGAGCTGGAGGAAGCTCACAGGATGTATCAAGGGCTTGCAGAAGACAGACCAAACTTAGGTCAAGGAGAAACCCTGGTCTGCAAACCAAGAAAGCACTGAGATGCAATGGTAATGAAGAACGAGTTTCAAGAATAGGCTTACAATATAAATGTGTGTATGTAATAAAACAGAGTTGAATGGGTGAACATGACTCTGTTAATGTTTGATGATCATATGACTCACAAAATCCTACAATGAGACAAAAAATAAATAAATAAAAGACCCAAACAAACTCTCGAGCATCTCAAACAAGAAAAAAAAAAGAGAGCCAGAGAGTGAGAAAGTGTTGAGGGAGAGTCAGAAAAAGGGGAGAGACACGGAACAGATCTCACCATCAAATAAACACTGGAGCTTGACTTCCTTTTCTGAACAGGGTGAAACAGAGGAGGGCAAAAGAGGGAAGCATAAAAAACAGGCCAGTGAACACAGAAAAAAATAAAGCTGCTAGTTAGATCCCACAGAGAGGAGAGAAGAAAAATAAACAACCACAAGAAGTTGCAAAGCCATGTGTGATGTGACAGAGGCAACAGTTGAAAAGTGTTAAACTGCTGAAATCGATTTATTGATAAGACTTCTTTCATTTCAAGTATTTGCTTCTCGGTTGCTTGGTGAAAGGCAGACGATTCACTGCATGCACAGAGACGGCACAGGGCTGAGTAGGTCTCTCTGCTTTAACAGATTTTGCCATGACACAGGACTAACAAATGGGCAAATATCATGAATAGTCTAAATATGCTAAATGGTTTTTGCTTAGGTCTCCTTCACATTGAAGTATATCAGCCTAATAAAACGTAAGCAGCTAATCATTTTAAATTAGAAACAGAGAGTGTTTAATCTCTTTGGTTTTATGCAAACCATTTGCCGGTTAGCTTGACTGTCAGTTCTGTTTATAATATGTCCGTTAAAGAAGACAAATCAATATGACAGGACAAATCTTTTAAACATTAAAACTGGGGTAGAATTGTGCATTTCTTTATGTTAACAAAACCATAAAATTGTATGATTCCAATGCTGATTCAAGAACTTAAGTAACGTGTGTGGGGCTTACCTTCACGCCATCAGACTTCTTGTTCAGTAAACTTTTGCATGCTGAAAGATGAGGAGAGAAAACAAAAACACCTTAGAAATGCTCAAACATTTGATGAACTGAATAGTTCCTGACATAGGAATGTCGCTCCTTTAGTTTAATGGTATTGCTAACTAAAAATATTAAAAATTGTTTTCAGTAATTGAAATAAAACTGAAATAAAATAAAATATAAATATTAGATGAAAAATTTAAACTGGAAAAAAAATGAAATTGTTTCCTTGGCATTAACTGAAATAAGTTTAAGATCAGGTACTAAATTACTAAAACTATATCAATTAAATTACCATCTACAATCTATCTATTTAGATTAACAAATAAAACTAATATAACTAATAAAAATGACAAAAACACAAACCACAATTTCTAAAACTTAAAACGAAAACTGAAAATAAAAAGTTAATTCAAAATATTAATAAATACTATAATAGTATATAAATAATACTAAAATAACACTGGTTGAGACGAGTCACAGGACCAGAATAACCATCTATAGGGCTATGAAATAGCACCTATATCCAGTGAACAAGCACACGCCAAAGCCCTGGTACCATAAAACGGGACTAGAAGATTCTCTCCACCAAGAAATGTGAAAGACCACCTCAGTTTGATATGAAACATACTTTATGAGCACATCTTATTCTGTGTTCTCATAAACAGAAACATGGTTTTTGAAAACGAAACTGATCTAATGAGACACAATGCCAGCACATATGCACAAACAAAAACCATACAAGGACACAAGTAGACTTTCTAAGTATTATCCCCAAATTCCCTTACCTTTTAAAGTAGACAGAGGTAGGAAAGAATGCAAAAAGGGAAAAAGGTCAAATAAATCAATCAACAGATTTTTAAAAAGAAAAATAGCTGTGGCAAACAAAATAATCAAGCAAATCAAAGTAAAACTAGAGGAGTTTCTGTTCATGCTGGGTCCATGCTGTGCAGAGGCATCTCCTGTCTGGCCTGCTGTCATCAATGAAGGCATTTCTCCTGCACAAGACCAATGTCTGTTTCAATTCACTCTAGCACATTAGAGCTGAACTGCTGATTCATTAGAGGACTGAGTGGTTGGACGATAAGTCCTTTTTTTCTGACCTGTTCAGCTGTTGTGCTCGTAATTAAACTGGCCTTGTAATTAAAATTGTATAATGGGGTCAACTGAGTTTGTGTGCTGCACTTGTTGATAGCATGGAATAGATCAAAAACTACTTTAGCATTAGTGGTGGACTGATAAGAGGTTTATTAGATAGTCAATGCCATTTCTAATAGAGAGTATGGTGGCTAATGGCCAATAAAGTGCTTCTATATGCACTACTGTTCAAAAGTTTGGGGTCAGTAAGATTAAATAAAAAAAAATTTCAGCAAGAATGCATTAAATTGATCAAAAGTGACAGTAAAGCCTTTTACATTGCAACATACTTCTATTTCAAATAAATGCTGTTTCTTAGCATACTAGAATGATTTTGAAGTATCATGTGACACTGAAGATTGGAGTAATGACTGCTGAAAATTCAGCTTTGCTATCACAGGAATAAATTACATTTTAAAATATGTTAACATAGAAAGTTGTTTTAAATGGTAATAATATTGATCAAAATTTCTGTTTAACTGTATTTTTGAACAAAGAAATGCAGCCTTGGTGAACATAAGAGACTTCTTAAAATCTTACGATGATAGGAACTGAGACATACACAAATTTGCTAAAATTAAAGGAACTCATAAGTGGGCATGCTTATTGGACGATGCTCTCAAAATAGTCAAATAGCAGCTAATTAAATGGCCTGGCTGATATAACAGTCTATCACATCGCCAACAACTGCCTCTGATTATTAAATCATATGTACTTCTGAGGCTTAAATAAACCATTGCAACTATTAAGTATCATTGTAAAGCAACAGAAGCATTTGGCAGAGCATTCACAGACATGCCACTTTCATTAAGACGTATATGAAGAGGCGAGAAACTAAGAAATAAACTAAAAGCAAGACAAAAGGACATGTGGTTCCTGTTGCTTCGGGTCCTCCATGCACATAAAAGACACCCAAACACATGCTGAAAGGTACTTCTGAGGGACGCCACAGCGATCCCCACTGTGAAGACTTCAGTAGAGTGGTTCTTCTCAATAAGTCTTCCCTTAAGAGCATGCTAATACATACATGATGTAGACATTCATTCTTACTACAGGCAAATGCATGTCAGCATCCACCCACAATTTCATACCAGTGCAGTTGGTTGACCATAAGCCGACCTGACTTTGGACTGAGGTACACAAGGAGAATGAGCCACCTTAAGAAACCATCAACATAAAACAAGGCAACTAAATCTGTAATGCAACTCTTAAGTATAACGCCGTTCCTTAAGGTGACTCTGGCTGAAATACCTCCACCGGAGCATCCCCGGACCATCACCAAGAGCACAGACCCATAATGCATTATGCTTCCAGAGAGACACCACTTGGAAGGCATAATACATTTTTTGCGATACTCTTCTTACCATCCCAACCTGCTGACAATGACACAAAACATCTTCTGACAAGTTCACAGCATTTTTGTAGAGACATTCAGTGCAGGCTGAATGCAAAGGTCACCTTTGACAGGAAAGGAGGGCTCTTTCATCCTAGACTTTGGTCAAAAGTCATGAAGCACAAAGGGATACGAATGCGTCTCAGGGTTGGGAGTGACTTAATTTCAATTTGAGCTTGTTTTATATTTGTCAATTCACTTAAATTTCACTCAAGACTTCTACTGAATCAAATTTGAATTGAAATATTCTAAATTCAGGCAACGAACCCAAACCCTGGAGCGCGTGTTATGTATTTTCTGCATAGCGAATAGCCTCTCAGAAGAGTTTCAGTGCCCGTGTGTTGGCAAGGGTATAGCAGGCTCCCCTTGGTCACATGCTGAGGCTGAAAGTGGGCAACAGCCCCCTAGTTCCCATCTCACGTACCTTCTTGTGCCAGTGCAGCTGTGCTGGTGGTGGGGGCGGCGGGGCTGGTGTGCTGCCGACCCACTATTGGACAAAAGAGCATGTCGTTTTGGAGAGGCTGACTCAAGGCAGAAGCTCAGCCTTTCCGGTATCACAAGGAAAACTTACCCAATTTGTATCCTAAAAAAGCAACCTAAAGCAAAGCCCAAATGCCTCTACGCAGTCAGGAAAGTGGGGCCAGATTACAAAATCAAAAGTTTCGAAAGAACTACATAAACGTAACATACTGATCTCTCAATTCATGAGCACAAGTCTCACTCATACGTCTGAAGCTAATGAGACATTCACCTGAGAAGTTCCTGGACACCAGCATGGTGGTCAAAATGGCCCCCTGCAGGAAACACAAATGCTACTTTAGTATCTTATCTAGAATTGGAATCAAAATTAACATTGCTAAGGACAAAGTTTTCGAACATTCATTCATTTGGATAAAGTATTAATAATGGGCAATACTAAACAATTAGGTTGAGTTTGTTACTATTAGTTAATGCATTTGGTGTCATTAACTAACAATGAATAACATTTTTACAGCATTTATTAATTTAGGTTAATGTTCATGTATGAATTTACAATTTTACTTTGTTTGTTCCTAATTGACTAATTTTAATGTATACTTAACACTTGTAAAAAAAATTTTTTTATCAGTATATGCAGAAATAACATTAACCTATATTAATAAATGCTGCAAGTACTGTACTTTGTTTATTCATGTTAGCGAATACATAAACTAATGTTAACATATTGAACCTTATTGTGCTGGAAATGAATGAATCAGACCTTTAGTTTTCTGCGGGCGTTGAACTTGCGCAGACACTCAACGGTTTCTTGACGATGCACCATGGAGGCGACAGTGGAGCGTTGCTAAGTGGGAAAAAGACATCAGTCCTTAGGACAAATCTTTATTCTTATACGTCATGACAGATTGTTTATAATACAAATTGTATATAAAGTCTCATTTGATGTTTTTCATCAACCAAACTGGCTAGCACATGTTTACTTCATTGCAGACTGGCGTGTAAGCTGTATGACATTATGCCAGTTGTTGGATGTAATTGTGAAAAGCTGGGTGACAACAATATAAACCAGCCTTGAGAGATGCAATGAAAAGTGCTGGGGGTTTAAGTCCACTTACACAGACCCACGGATGTTTGAGTGCTTGGTCAGCTGTGATCCTCTTCGCTGGGTTGATGGTCAACATCTGGTTGATGAGGTTTTTGGCCTCTGCGGTAACAGTGTCCCACTCTGGAGAGGGAAACTAAGACATGAAAAGACAAGAGAAAGAGAGGATGACTGAGTTTTCTTGATAAACAGTGAGGTCTACAGTGAAAAGCTGTGGTTTGTTTCATTTAAACCTGGAAATGAAAAGAAAGATTTTGAAACAATTATAACAAAAATGTTATGATGAAAAAAATTTATAAGAAACATTTCACATTTATTCATAAACAAACTAAGGCCCAATGACATTTTTTACATTTAAACACAACTTTTCTGTATAGCTACTTTAAAAGGATATGTATTTTGAAAACCTCTACAGAAATAAACATGAATTTAATAGTTCTAGGTCACTAATCATAGATATATTTGTGACAGTGATCATGTGTACAAACGATGCTCTTCCAGTGAAGCTCAACATGAACATGATCATCAGGGTTTACACAAACTTGAGTTCATGAAGTTCCACGTGAAAACAAAAGGGGGACAAACCAGGTACTAAGATATTATGAATGTTACATCAACTTTATGCTGATGCTGATAATATAAACTAATGAAAACGCATGTATTACATTAGGAAATAATGAAAAATAGAAACATTTTCACTAGTCCCAGACTTCTGTATGAAACAGAGGGCTCAAATGTATACAGACATTGACAAACACACAGATCAATGGCGTCCATGGCCTGTAATGGATTTTAATAAGATTAAAGCAGAGCAGCTAAAGCGATGGATGGCAAAGTGGTGTTTTTCACCTGGATGGCTGAAAATGCTGAAACCAAAACTGGCCTTCGTAATCACATCTTTCCCACACCGCAGCACTCCATCAAATGGACAATGGCACTATACAACAAACAAACACTACAAACATGCTACACTCCAATGCACTTAGAGAGCCTTTCTGGACTAAAAGGGATGGTGAAAGCACAAATGAAATAAAATTAGGGTGAATCCATATACTTTAATCATGCTAGATTGTTTACAAACAGCAACTTTGAGCTACAGCTGGTCACTGCGCTGACAGACAAAAATATGACACTATGCCATCTGCAAGATTGTTGTAACCTCATATAAGCTATATAGAATAGTGTTAATAGGAAATATCCCACTCTAAACTGGTTTTCTTCTAGGATTTGAGGTGGTGATGATGATGATGAAGACTCCTGTATGTTTCTCTGTTGAGCTCTAGAGGAGGGGGCTGCCATCATTTATTATTGAGTAACTCTGCTCCCTATCCCAACCAATTAAATATTAACAACGGCTTCAATCTGGGTTTGCCACTCTGGGTCGATGTGGTGGCACTAAAATCTCTGTATGGGGCCATGAGAGCATCTTTGTCAACATGTTGATGGGCAATAAAAGACAGGTCTAATAAAAGGGCTTTCACTTTCTGTTCCTGGTTGAGCTGAGCACAGCTAAAATAAACAGACCTTTTGTTCGACATGCCTGTTTTTGTAAGCGCCTACTTTAATTACATCAGATATGTTTAATTGAATTTCGGCACGGGATTGCGCATATTCTACTGATTCCCGCAGTTTCCGCGGGAAATTTCAGCGTGAAAGACACTTTGGACAGATGATGGAATGTATAATTTGCACATGCTTTTGAGTATTTCAATTTTAAACTTTAAAGTGCTCAATTCAGTACTTGCGCGCTCTCTGTGAGACCCCTTTCTGTGAGCTCACACCCAAAGCGCGTGCACATAGAGCCGCATCTGAGAGCGCGCGACTACAGAATAAAGTTGTTGCGCCTTATTGCGCGTAAACAGCCAAATACGTACAAAATTATCTCAAAATGCCCGTCTTGATGAGTATTCACGTAAACAGTCGATTTATACTAAACATTGTCGGTATATAGGCATATTAAGTGAATGTAAACAGTTGAGAAACAAAACTTATGTGTAACAGTTAGATCCGTGCATGTGGTCTTAAAGAGACAGCAAACTAAATAAACCTGCTGCTGTCTGTCATTAATGTTTATTTATACATTGAAGACTAACCAGTGTTATTTTAAAGTTAAATAGATTATTCAGTTTCTGTGGTATTTCTGTACCTGAATATTACTGTTATAGCTGAAAAACTTAAAGCACAGTTAATTTTAGTCTTGTTATTGTACTTGTTTGTGCCATTGCTTGTCATTTATCTATTCTTATTTTATTACTGACTGTTTATTTGTCTTTTTTAGTTATATATAAATTCAATTCAGAGTTTTAAATCAAAGTTCTTTTTAAGTATCTTCCTCACAATATAAATATGAATCAACAACATTATAAATTGTAAAACACAAATACACTGGGTGACGAAACATTTAGGTTGGATGATTGTAGTTTAAAAATATGTCTAAAAAAATACAATGGTGCAACTGGTCGATCCAAGGTTCATTTTGGAATTTAAAAAGACATGTGATGTGAAAACTTTAAGTGTTCCTTTCACACATGTACACTACCAATCAAATGTGGGATACTTTTGAAATTGAAATGAGTGGGATATTTTTAAAAGATTTTAATACTTTTATTATTAGTATAACAAAAGATTTCGAACAACGAATCCAAACTTTTGAATAGTAATGTGGATATGAACAAATATTCAGGTCTGATTAGATTTAAAAAAGTCATTAGATTATAAAGCAGTGAGAGCTCATTAAGGCAAACAGTGAGTGTGATTACTCACATCATAGGCTCCAGCCTTGATCTGTTGATACAGTTTGTGCTGGTCCTCGTCCCAGAAAGGAGGGTAACCCACCAGCAGGATATACAAGATCACACCTGCCCAGGACACATAAACAGGTAACTTCATACTAGTACTAGTCCACTGTTCTTCCAAAGTAATGAGACTGAATCACATATTTTTTACACTGATTATTCACAAAATTGGACAAATACTCAACACTATAAGACACCAGACCAAAGAGAGTCTTGGAATCATTTTAATGTGAACACTAAATAAAACTGGTGAAAATCTTACCACAAGCCCAGATATCCACTGGTTTGCCATAGGGATCCTTTCTCAGGACTTCAGGGGAGAGGTATCCAGGGGTGCCTGCAAAACCTGTAAAGCCAGAGTGTGATTACTTACATTTAATATCTAAAATGAACAGATTTCAAATCACAAAATCTTCAACACAATCTCTTTATGATAACCAAATTCTGAGCATTACAAATAAGGCAACAACATTTCAATTTGCATCAAATAAACTAAAATACAAAAATTGTTTTGTTTTTGTAAAAAATAAATAAATAAATAACTTCACTTTCTTATAATGCTGTGAAATATGAAAAGCACATAAAAAATTCCCATGATGTTGGACAAGCTTAATCCAATTTGTCCACTGGCTTTGTCGTCTGTAACCTTTGACCTGGTTCAAGTGAGTAGTCTTGACTCAAAAAGGACAGTAAACATTGAGAAAACTACTCCATATTTCCCAAGAGCACAGAGTAAAAACACAAGCTGGCTACTCTCCAGAGCTCTCTAGTCCCAACAAGAGTCACAGATGTCACTGAGAGCAAACAGAGCATTAAGAAAAATCATTGCTGGTTGAAAGTCAGCTTTCAGAATGAGTTTACGAGCACCAGTGGCATCTAAATGAGCGGATACATTTTCAGGGCTTTGAATATTTGTTTGAGAAACCAGAGAAATTCATTTGGTCTGTTGAATTTAATTCAGTCTTGCCTCAGGATGATCTAGAATGGCTTCAAGTCAAATCCCTTTAAGAGATGAGGCTACCAATGAGTTGAAGGAAAAGCAGAGGAGTCTTACCGAACCAGGCCTGCTGATCTCCTTGCACCTCGATGGCAAGGCCAAAATCAGCCAACTTCACTGCTGCCCCCTTCATCTTACTGGCTAACAGCAGGTTCTCTGGCTACAGGAGTACGCATGACAGAGAAAAGGGCAGGAGAGAAGAAAGTAAGAATAGTGAGCAATAAAGTGAGGGAGGAGACAAGAACAAAAATGGGCACATCAGAACTGAAATCTCCAATATTGTGATTTTAACATTAAAACATAAAGCTGCAGTGTGCCATTTCTGTCTGTTGTGAGTGTTCGTAGCGTGCAAAATTGTACAGGGCAAAATAGGCCCACTGACTATTGTCAATAATGTAGTGATGTACAGCTCATACAGAAGTCACTTTCAAACCAAGCAGTTTTCTGTTGCAAAATCTGTGTGGAGAAATTCTTCACCCTCATGCAAAATTCCTAATCGCAAAACAGCTTGTTTTGAATTCTACAAGTATTTATTTATATACTATTATAGAATTTAATAACATTTTGGATTAGCTTTTATTTTTATATTTTCACTTACATTTTTCCACAAACAACTGTAAATGTGACCACACCTTTATTATTTTATACTATTTCACCTAAATTAAATAAAAATAACACTAAAACCTAACAGAACTTGTTCTGAATGCTTCAAGTATATTTAGACATCACTAAATTATAGTGTACAGTATGCAAATATAGGGCTGGCATGATTCAAATCATACTTATCTGACCGTCATCAATTCGTAGTAGTGAATGAAGAAGTATCATATTGTTCACAAGTGCAGTGTGGAATACCACAAGGCTCAGTACTAGGACTGTTGCTTTTCACATTTTACATGCTACCCTTGGAGATATCATCAGGAAAAATGGTGTTAGCTTTCACTGTTATGCTGATGATACTCAGCTCTATATTTCTTTGTGGTCCGACGAAACACCAATTTGCAAAACTAACAGAATGCATAGCTGACATAAAAACTGGATGACTAGTAATTTCCTACTGCTAAATTCTGAAAAAGCAGAGGTGTTAATTATCAGACCAAAATCCTCTGCATGTCATAAACTAGAACACTGTCTAACACTTGATGACTGTGCTATCAATTCTTCGTCATCAGTTAGGAACCTAGGTGTGCTATTTGATAGCAACCTGTCCTTTGAAAGTCATGTTTCTAGCATTTGTAAAACCGCATTTTTCCATCTTAAAAATATATCTAAATTACGACCAATGCTCTCAATGTCAAATTCATAAATGTTAATTCATGAGTTCATGACCTCAAGGTTAGATTATTGTAATGCTTTTTTGGGTGGTTGCTTAGTGTGCTTAATAAACAAACTCCAGCTGGTCCAAAATGCAGCAGCTTGAGTTCTTACTAGAAACAGGAAGTATAACCATATTAGCCCGGTTCTGTCCACTCTGCACTGGCTCCCTATTAAACATTGTACACATTTTAAAATCTTGCTCATTACTAATAAAGCCCTGAATGGTTTAGTTCCTCAGTACTTGAGCGAGCTAGTATTGTTCAGGAGGCAAACACACTCTGTCAGTTTAAATCTAGATTAAAGACCCATTTCTTTAACCTGGCATACACATAACACACAATCCCTTTTCTATAATTCAAATCCGTTAGAGGATTGTTAGGCTGCATTAAATAGGACAACTGGAACCGGGAACACTTCCCATAACACCCAATGTACTTGTTACATTGTAGGAAGAATGGCATCTACACTAATATTTGTTTGTTTTATTCTTATTCCGAGGTCACCGTAGCCACACAGATCCAGTCCGTATCCAGATCAGATGGTCACTGCAGTCATCTGGATCCAGTCTGTATCCAGTCCAGATGGTGGATCAGGACCTAGAGATGACCTCTACAGCCCTGAATGTCAGCAGACACCATGTCAACTAGATGAACCCAAAAGACAAATCCCCTCTGTGAAGACCTCGTCGGCCATTGGCACAAGACCACGAGAACCAGACGAGTCCTCTGCTCAATCTGACTTGCGTTGCAGCCTGGAATTAAACCACACCATGCTGGTTTCGTCTGGCCAGAGGAGAACTCCCAAGGTTTTTTTTCTCCATTTCTGTCACTGATGGAGTTTCCTTGCCACTGTCACCTTTGGCTTGCTTAGTTGGGGACAATTTCTGGCAACATTGTTGACTTGACTGCACAGACACTATAGGAAGAGAACTGAACTGAGCTGGATGATGACATCACTGAATCAACAATGAACTGATTTATCTGATAAACTGACTGTTTTCTATTGTCCTCTTGCATTATCAGCACACGGGTTTTCTGTTTAACACTGTAAAGCTGCTTTGACACAATCTGTATTGCATAAAGTGCTATTTAAATAAAGGTGACTGGACTTGGATATTAATTTTGACATTTGCATTAACAGTGTTATTAAATTAAGCGTTTTCAAGATTAGATGACAAAAAAGGTAATACAAATACAAAAATAGGGAAAATAAAATATCCAGTAGCACGAGCCAAAAGAATTATGAAGTGCAATTCATGGGCATTCACTCCCACATGGCTGCTCATTCATTCTGTGTATGATTATGCTAAAGGTGATTATCAAGCCTACCGACGCTGAATTTAATCAGCTGTGATCTGCATAAAAGGACGTAAACGTATCCAGCATGTTCTATGAGGAGAGTCTTTCATCATCACATTGTAGGAATACTGAGATCCGGACTTGAACTACAGTGTGCATCAAGTGAGAGAGACAGAAATGGTGTGCATGCTTGTACATGTGAGAGAGAAGAAGAGAGAGATTGCATGTGGTGTCTGGAGGTGTCTGGTATCTCACTGGTGTGTGTGTGTGTATGTGTAAAGCGGATGGATAGCTGTGACAGCACGCTCATTGCTCTAAGCTGCATAATTCATGAAGAGACAGAGAGGAGGGCTTGTTATCTCATGCTACGAGAGCAGGGGTGAGCTGCTCTCTCGCCCTGCTGTCCTGCACACCCCGCTGCCTCTGAATGCTGCAGGCACAGCCCTGACCTGGACACTGCACAGTCATCCTGCAAAAACTGCGCCAACACGTTTATAGTAGGATGGACACAACAGACTTTCTGTGATGTCACATCATATTTTAATGAATGTTAATTAGGGGATGCTGACATAGCTAGATTAGTCATAAGCCAAACCAAAACAGGATTGGTAACTCATGCAGCAGATATTCCATGTAGGGATTCGCTCAAATGTTTTTAAACTGCCTTTAATGGTTTTGAATGTATTATGTTGTGAAATAAAAACACTAAAAAAGGTTTTAAGTGCTAGGCATCACATCTTAAGCATCATATCCTAGTATCAACAATAAAACAAACTGCAAATAATTAAAAATTAATTGCACATTTATTGGCTAATTCTCTACGACTGTTTTTTTCCCACTTAATTTAAGGGGATAAACAAGTGAGTGTTATTTTAGTATTACTTATATACTATTATAGTATTTAGCAATTATTCATTCTATTTATTTTAATATTTTTGGTTTCCATTTTCATATTAGTGTATATTTTAATAATTTTATATACTTTTGTCATTTTTATTCGTTTTTTTTAATGTTTCTATTTAGCTTTAATTTATATTTATTTCAGTTTTAGTTTTAATAATTTGAGTTCTTCATATTTATATCAGTTAGTTGCCAAGGCAGCATTTCTAGTTTTTCATATAATATTTACATATATTTTATCTGTGAACTTCATCCTTACTCCTTCAATAAAAATCAGCACCCAATACCCATGTCCTGCAACTCTAGGGATTTCTCTTCCCTCCTAAACATTCTTTCTCTGTCTAGTTTTCCTTTTCCTCCTTGTCTGTCTGTTCAACAGTTCTGTCTCTTTCCCTTTGATGAATTAGAGGAGGCAAAATGACTCTCCACCAGACACGCTCACCATCATGCCATGACTCTGCAGCCACCATGACATCACACAGGTTTCCATAGCAACCGGCCTGCCTCCAGTACTCCTCTGTCTGTCTTTACTTTTAAAGAGGTGAACTAATACAGAAAGTAATGGGTCAGTGTTTTTTTTTTTTTTTTTGTAGGGGTGGGGTTAGACAATTTTTTCCACCACATGCCACTGATCTATTATGTGTTTCATCAGTTGTTATTGTAAGAAAAAAAAAACTTGAACAAACACACAATTTCACCTCCTAAACAGGCTCTACTACATCTACTCCTAGGAAGATGTGGAGATACAAAGGAAAATAAGTGTAAACTCTGACAAGCAACAAGGAAACACTATTTCAATTTCAATCCAATATGAGGTTCACATTGAATGATGGCATTTAAAGAACAAATCTCTCCATCATCCATTAAATGTTCCTTTGTTTGCTTTCTGCATTGTGCTTATCAAATGACCCCTCAGGATTAGCCACAGCCAACCGGCCGAGCTCTGACGTCAAGAGAATGAAATAACACAATCAAACGGCATACATGTTCTCCGGTGTCAAGTTTGTGTCCACACAGCGTTTAATGTTGCAAGCACATGTCTGAGTGTGTGCAAATGACGCCACAGGGTTGCCAAGAGGAGGAGGGCTTGGATGACGCAAGCTCCCGTATTGGCATGTTGCCACAGTGACGGCGTGACTCACCTTGAGGTCCCTGTGCACAATGTCATGCTGGTGGATGTGGCTGACGCTTTCCAGGATCTGATTGATGCAATGACTGAGAAACAGAAAGCAGAGGGGAGGAAAAGAGGGTTGGATTAGGGAGAGAAACCCAGGCATTAGTACAAGGATCTAACTCCAGATAGAAGACTGGGTGAAAGAAATCCAGCTACAGAACCTGGCCTGTGCAGATAGACTGAGCTTTGCATGAACAGATAAATAATCTGGTTTGTTTTGTGGTTCTCAAAACTGCCAGAGAAGGTTTCCAGGATGGAAATGAAAAGACATTTACCATGTCATCCAAATGGCAAAACAAATTCCTGAAGCTGAATGCGTGCGTGTATGTATGTATGTATGTATGGACAGGTATGTATGTGTATATATAAATGCAGCCTTGGTGAGAATAACAGACAAAAATCTTACCACCCCTAAACTTCTGAACAATAGTTCATGTGTGTATGTATATATATATATATATCCCAGTAATACTACACAGACGTGCATGTGTTGCTCTGACAGACTTGCACCGCAGAAGTCTTTCCATAGACAGTGAGGGGACAGAAATATCAAGCACCGGTGAAGCTGGAATGCTTCTAAATGCAGCGAGTGGAGCAGCTCATTATAGAGCTCTGAAACCTGTTCAGAAGGTCGTGGCCCGAGGACAGAGGGTGAGTTGGGTGGGGATGACATCTCTCTGAGAGATTTTTTGTTTGTTTGGAAGCATACTTGAAAAATAATAAATTTCCGAATGATTCGGTTTATGTAATGAGAGAGCAAAAAAGAGAGCGCCTGCAGAAAGAAAAGCAATGGCAGTCAAGTAAAGAAAGAGCCCCATTAGATATTCCTTAAAGCTCTCTTGAGGAAGGATGGCGAGGAAGGCATTTCTTGTGTCCAAATTTGGCAAAATCTGTGGACTGCATTCCATTCCATCCCATTTCGGAGGCACTTTCCAGTAAAAACTCTCTCTGTTCTCCCCCTTGATGCAAACTCTCAGAAGCAGCCTTCATGCAGCAAGTCTGGAGAGTGGCTTCCAAAAGTAATTGGAAAGTAACACTAATTTTGTTGTTCCGGCTTAGTGCTGAATATGAAGTGGAAATGGACTGAAGTGCAGACAGTCAGTTTTAATTTAAGGGGATGCCTATCCAGGCAGAAGGTTAAAAATAACACCACATTTCAGGCCAGCTGCCATCCCTGTTAAAGCACTGAGAGTATTTACATAGTTTGACATTATTTGAAATAAAAATATCATGTTTAATAATTAGTTGCGTAACCTTGGCATTTAATGATTGTCTCGCTGTCTGGGACCAAAGAGCAGTGTTAGAGACAGAATATTTTCACTAAGGCCTTACAAAAGCACTGTGGTAGTGCCATGGTACAGTGATGGCAGCAGAAAGTAATACCATGGTACTTTGAGTAAAGAATTAAAGAAAAGACTATGAGATTGATGTACCATAGTATTTACAGAAAAAAATCCATTAATATTTTATTATTGTATATATTACACAATATATTATTTATACAAATCCTTTTAATATGCTGATTTGGTGCTCAAGAAACATTTCTTATTATCAATGTTGAAAACAGTTGTGCTGATTAACAGTTTTGTGGAAATTGTGATTTTTTTTTTGTATTCTCTGAAAAGAACATTTAAAGTATTTTAATCTTTTGTTCTTTTTTCACATAAGTGTCTTTACTGTTAAATTTGATCAATTTAATGCATCAGTGTTGAATAAAAGTACAAAGTTCTTTCTGACTTAGTGACCCCAAACTGACCCACGGTAGTAGTGTATATTATTTATAAATTACAACTAAACGCCGATATGATTTTAGGTGAATTTTTAAACTTACCTTGCATCTGCTTCACTGTAATATTCTCTTGCGACAATGTCTTCAAACAATTCTCCACCAGTCACACTACAGGAAGAAATACAGGCTTTATCAACAACTCAAGTATGGAGAACCCACAGCGGTTCCATTCAGCTATAAACTATAAAGAGCACGAGGCCTGTAGAGGAGTATGTGGCTAATGGAGAGTTTTATCACCACGGGGCGGCACTTGAGTGTTGGGCGAGCGCTATCAGCGTCCTGACACAAGAGCCCTGAGAGAGGGCCATACAGTCACAATCTACACACACATACACTTACATGTATGTCTTGCTCTCACACACACTACAGTTATGCAGAGGAGTCTACATCTCAACAACACTTCAGACTCTGATAATTGTTTAAAATGATGTCAGCATAACTTAAGCAAAAGAATTCCGAAATATATGGTACAGAGAAATGGGCCTACTGGCTAGAGAATAAAGTTTAATCGTCATACTTCAATTACATTTTCCTGTAATTAACGAAGTTAATTAACAAACTTAATTACTGCCAAACGAGGCTGAAAGGAAGTGGAAAGTGTGAGTATACAGGCCTCATCTCAACAGAAGATCACACTGTCTGACTCAGATACTTACAGGTCAAAGACCAGGTAATGAAAGCCTTCTTCTGCGATACTGTCATGGAGACGCACTGTTGAGGGAAAACAGAAAGAGAGAATGAGGTAAGACAGAGAAACAACATAAGCAGGATGAACAGAAGGAGCTTTTATCCTTTTCTTAACCTGCCCATGAAGTCATCCTCATTACAAATCCCAACCTTGCTGCATAATGCCTTCTAAGGCAGCATCCTAGCTGAAATGAACCTCATAACTGACCCATCTGAAACGTTCATAAAGAGCAACTCCAAATACCTACCAAATAAAATTTGGCATAGGACATCATTCGTCTCAGAGAAGGAATTCTGGTCTTTGCATTACAGAGGGAGCGGTGGCACAGCAAGTAAAGCAAGGAACATTTGTTATCCTGATTGAAGGTAATGAATTTGTCATCGGTTGTTACAGATTTGAAACAGTGCACCTGCCAGATCTCTCTCATGCAGCCATTAAGAGACCCTCGGCTCGCTCTCATTGTGTGTGGGTCTGTGTAAATGACAGCGTATATTAATCTCAGCCATGTGAGGGAGGTGGCTGTGCTAAATGAGGGCAGAGAGGGCAAAGCAGAATTATATTATCTCCACATCCACCCAGGATCACCCACAGCGCTGACACAAACACACATTCTGACTGGAGGACTGCGTTTTAACACAATTCATACTGAAGGTGCTGTGAACAGTGTTTGAATGGAGAGTGATTTTAACAGGTTGGCCTGAGAGAGGTGTGGACAGAGCCGATGTGTGTTGTACTCTGATGAAGATGATACTCTCTGAACATATTGCCCTAATGTTTTTGACTTGAACTAGTGCTATACTTTACTGGTATAGCACTAAAATTGGAAAAAAGTAATACTAGCCGTGTCGCATGCATATGTGTGTTTTGCAGTAACGTAGCTGTGAATGTGTATCCACCTTATTTTTCCCATAAGAGCAGGCGTGGCCATTTGTAAATTTTATGGGACTGACTTCCGGTGTCATTTTTAGCTGTACAAAACAGCTTGTTTTGCTGCTTGATATTGCAAACTGGTGTCTTACCAGTGATTTTACCATTATTTTAATGTATTATCTTAATTATGAACACTGGTTTGTAGTGAAAAGAGTTATACCGTTTACTGTATTTTGTTATTCTACTTGTTATTTCCCTACCGCGGCTAATGAACCGAAAGTCTCACACATTCACAGAAAACGTCTTACTTCCGCATTGAAAAATAAGGTGGATAAAATATATTCATATATAAAATAAATATGTAAAATAAATACAATACCGTTCAAAAGTTTTTTAAAACAAATTAATACTTTCGTTCAACAAGTATTAAATTGATCAAACGTCACAGTAAAGACACCTAATGCTAATGTATAAAGATTTCTACCTTAACTGAATACTGTAAAAAAAATGACAGCTGCTTCACAATATTACAGTTTTTATTGCATTGTTTAATCAAATAAAGGCAGCCTTTGTGAACATACAGTAAGAGACTTCTTTCAAAAACAAAAAATCTTACTGATCCCTTTTTTTTTTTTTTTTTTTTTTTTAATTTTTGAACATTTACTTTTATTATGGTTACTTGTATTATGAAGTTATGGGTTTTCACACTATTAAAGAGCTCCACAGGGATGCATATCTGCTCTTGTCGTGCATCTGTGAGCCGACTGCAGTCATGCACTCATATCTGCTGGTTTTTGGAAGAGGGTTTGTTGACAACAAACCCCACTGTTGATAACATGTACAAAGGCTGTAAGTTACCCTGCATGTGTTGTGTATGTGTTGTGTATGTTCAAGACAAAAGGAGAGAAAAAGAACAAGTGTGTATTAGGCTTGAGTCTTTGCCGCCATAGGCGATGTGCTCCTTAAGAATACTCTCTCTCTCCTACACACACTTGATTGCTCTTTTTGTTAGGAGTTTATTGGCAGTCCATGCAGAAAACATGATAACCTGAGAGAGAGAAAGAAGAAGAAAGGGCCGTTCAAGATGGCTAGACAGTAAAAGGTACAAAAGACACATTTAGGCCACTGGGAATGGAAGGGAGAGAATACATGAGAAAGAAAAAAGTGAGGGAGGAGAGACAAGAGAGTATGAGGGTGGGAAAGGACAAACACATCCTAGAAAGAAGAAACCAAGGCTACAAAAAAGGAAACGTCAAGCAGAATGTCTGCGCTTCTGTTTGCATTACAAGAAACATATGATTTACACTGCCAAGGACAAAAAACAACATATTTAAAGTATCAAAAAAGAACTATATTTGACTTACAGCTGTCAACACCACTGGAGATTGTGTGTCACATGAACAACTGTGGCTACTAGGGAGTCATTAACATTGAACAATAACTTGCATTTTAGATTGTTCCTTACATAAAGCTATAGTATGAAGACTTGAAATAGCCAAAGTCATACTTTTATGGTGTATCTCTGCCTTTTTTGGAGCCTGTCTGTTTAAATCACTTCTGGGTGAATTATCCCTGTTAAATAGTCTGGTGGTGTGTGTCATGTAAGCACAGTTTAAGGAGATTTTCTTGAACAGCACCAATCCTTTTGTTTTAATCCTGTTGTTTTCCTTCAAGTCTTCAAAATCCCCAAATACTTAATAATGTTTACTTTACAAATACTTACTTTTTTTGCACCTGGTGATTATCTAGCTACCCTCAGTGCCCAATGTCACCATCCTGAAACATTTTAGCCACTCACATCTTACTGTCTTCCACAGCACTGTGCTGTTCACACACACTGAAGGGAGCCTGAAGGGATGATGCCTGTGCTATTTCCATGATTTTGCATGAGGTGGAGATTTTGTCTGTGTGATCTGTTTTGTCAGTCACATCCTTTCTCATGCCATGCAAATAATCTTGTGTTGACTGTGACTAGCATGTTTGTACAGTATGTCTCACTGTGTACAGACACACGCGCGCACACGCACACGCGCACACACACACACACACACACACTATTGTTCTCAATTACTCAAGGGAGAACGGGATCAAGACTCACCTATGTTGGAATGTTTGAGCAGACGGCAGATGCGGGCCTCTCTTTCTAGCTTCTGATGATCTGAGGATCAAACACAGAAAGAACAGCTCAGCACATTTAACACCTGCATCTCCACAAGTGTCAAAACACAAACATTATCAGTGAAGAACCACTTACATTACCGCTCAAAAGTTTGGGGTCTGTAAGATATTTTTTGTTATTGAAAAAAGTTTGTTTGATCAAAAATACAAACAGTAATATTGTGAAATACTATTACAATTTAAAATAACTGTTTTTTTAATATATTTGAACATATTTTAAAATGCAATTTATTCTAATGGAAGCTGAATTCTACAAATATTTTTGTAGAAATCGTGATACATTTTTTCAGTACTCAAAAGTACAGTATTAATTTTAAATAGAAATCTTTTGTAACATTATAAATGTTTTTACTGTCACTTTTCTGTCAATTTCTTTAAAAAAAATTTTTTTTTTCCCTGACCCCAAACTTTTGAACTGTACTGTAAATTTCTCATACAAAGCTATTGTTCGGCTTCAGAAGCCTTGGAATATTAGCACACTAATCATATGGATCACTTTCATGTGTTTATAGTGCTTTTTTGTCATTTTGAAGCTCGACAGTCACTTTTCACTTTCATTACATGGAAAAGACTGATGTGATCAAATGACCCTGAGACGGACATTAATCCCAGGTGTAAACAGGACCTGTGACCAATGCAACTGTTCAGTGTCATATAATCAATATTAAGCCTATTGCCCTATTCTTAGCCAGAATATAGTTAATGACTGTGTGTACATGTAATGGGCATGAAGATGTCCACTCTATAAAGGAAGCGGCTGAGATTAATATAAATGCCCATCCTGGGATATTGAGCATCGATCTCTAAAAGGATCATAGCCTCTTTGGGAAACCTTTAGAGAGTTATATGGGAGGGAACTCAAACGGACACACACACACAAACACACACAAACTGTTTCAGCTGCGTAAATACATAATACAAATATATAGTTATTCTCGGACCATAAACAATGATGTTACGCACATCCATTTAGGATAGAGAAATGATCATGTGATATAAAGAGAAGAGGGACAGAGAAGTGTCAGCACTGAAAAGCAGGGCTTTTAACGCGGGCCGGCTGTAAAAGTCAAGCATCTTAACTAGAGTTGTCTACATGACGCCAGACAACACCCTACTTAAAAAGAATGCCCACGTGCACTCGAACACAGTTATCTGCAGCAGCAGGGATCTGCTAGTAGGAATTCAAATCATGAACTCAATGCAGGCACTCCTGCTGGGTCAGATCAGTCTCACATAAACACACACCGCTCTAACACATAACATATCCTCAGTCCAAGATCACACTGTGCCAAGTGTGTGCTACTTGTCTGAAATGAGCCAGACCTCAAACTAAAGACAATTTTCGAAAATATAATGAAAGATGAAGAAAGTACAAATGACACAGGGTGTTTATATATGCAAATTATGTTCCTTTCACAGGCCTTTATAAGGTCCAGCCATAACCTCTATGGGACAAGTTTGTGAATTCAGTACTCAAGAGTGAATGCATGTCGATCTTCTACCCAAAAAGCATTCAATCCCTCTGACAGCCCCAAAGCATGATTCTCAGAAATGACATCAGCCTCAGTCTTGAAGTATCAAACATTCATCTAAAAAACCATCACCACTACACTATACTAGCAGTCACACAGCCTTAGCATTCACGGTACTTCTCATGCACACACACACACACACACACACACACACACACACACACACACAGACAGACAGACAGACAGACAGGTTTCAGACTTTAAGTGATGATGTTTTCATCATATACAAATGGATGTGGGTGTAGGATCACTGGTGGCTTAAAGCTTTTCTGAGAAGTGGGACCAAATAAACATCCCTCTGAAAGAGTGAACTGTGACTGCTGCGAGTGATGTGCGTGTGCGTTCGGTTTACGGCAGCAGATGTCTTTTTTACCTAACAGAATTAATGCAGGACATTTAATATTCAGCCCTGCCGCGGCTCCCTACAGAACAGTTAATCTGAGCGTGAGAGATGGCCGTACGACTGTTGGCATGCAATGACTGCTGAGAAAACAAACACACACATAAACGAAACACTTTGAGTATGTGTTATAAAACTTGTTTTTATCATTTGCTGCACCTTCTGCATGCAATTCATCCATTGCATTATAAATCAAGTTTGAAGTCGAATAAACATAAATTCACTGATAGCTGTGATCTGATGCAAACGATAAAGTCATCTAGAAAGAGAAATGGCTTTGAGTGGCTTTTTTTATGCTCATGCTCTTTTTGTGTGCTCTCTCGTTTTCTTTCTTTTTATCCCATTACTTAAGAGATAAATAAATGATGTGTTGTTCAGTGACCATCTCTAAAATCCAATTGGGCTAAGTGCTGCTTTTTCACGGTTCGGTCGGGTCCATGATGTCATGGACTCTCAGAGAGAGAGAGAGATTCAGAAAACAGGAGCGATACACTGACTGATATAAATGGTTAAATGAAACATTAACAGGTGTATAAGTGTCCTGAGATTGGACCAGCATAAAACGTTGATATCATAATGAGCATGACAGGAGCATGACATATTTACAAAGAACGTAAATATTATTTTCTTTTTCAGCAGATGGTCAGTGTATAGACCAATTTGGATTAGACGTCACAGTTACGTCACATGCAGCTGCGCGTGCATTGTGGTGGCAGAAAAACACTGGGAACAAGTAGAGGGAAACGGGTAAAATCCATGGAATAAGAGAAAAAAATGTAGTGTTGTGCCTTTGGATATCAGAATTGGAAAGCAAATAATTTTTATAGAATACTGTCATCAAAGACACCATTTGAAGCTAAACGCAGACGTTTAAACGGACATACTATGAATGAAAACTGCTATGATTACTCTACTTTTAAAGCATAAATTTGATTTAAACAACAGGCCTACATAATAGTCACATATGCAGTTCATAGGGGACATATTGTATTAACTTAGCCCTACAGTTACAGCATGAAATATTATTTAAACCTATTACAATTAACATTTTACACAACATTTATTTCTTTTATCTCACAATTCTGACTTTTTCTTGCAAATGCAAGTTGATATCTCCTAACTTGGACTTTATAACTCGATTTAACTCAAAAGTAGTGAGTTTGTCAATTCTGAGGAAAAAAAAAGCCAGAAGTGTGGGCTATATATTCTGAGCCGAGGGAAAAAGAGAGAGTGACAAGTTGTTTTTCCTTATCAGTATTGTGAGATATAATATCGGAATTGCGAGAATAAAGTCGGATTTTTGAAATATAAAATCAAATTGACCTTTTTTTTAATTATTTTATTCTTCTCTAGCCGTAAAGGTTAGAGAACATACGTGACCAAACTTTGCACGTATGGGTAATGGAAAACGTAAATTTAAATACAGAAATACAATGCCATTTTGAATATTGCATACGGGTTTTCTGCAACCATGATGCGCGCGCATCCCGAATTTTTTTTAATTTTCCCGAAAGTTTACAAACCTATAATTAGCCTATAGATGTAATCAATTCCTGATGGACAAAATCAAGTGCCATCCTATATTTTTTCTAATTTGAGATCCTGTTTCACTTGGATATACAACAACAGACAAGAAAATATGGTCACAATTTTCATAAAAAAAATGTACACATTCATTTGGATTAAATAATCTTATATAATCTATTGCTTTATAATATACAACCTAACAAACTTTATTTTACAAAATTTGTAAAATACTTCTGCTGCTTACTACAGGCTTGACAGCGTATTTGTGCTATCTATCTTTAAAATAAAAGCCTTTTGCTAAAGCAATGACATTCACAAATTTATAAATGTAGCTTAAGTGTCTATATACCTTTTTAGGCCTTTGTGGACACAGAAAAGGTCAATAATTGGTACTGATGCATAATGGTATGAAAAAGGTTGGTTAAAAAAAATAAAGTATAGCTGTATAGTTGGACAATAAAAACACGGTAATCGCACATTGGTTTTTACTGTAGTTTAAAGGTTTGAATGCTCTAAAGAAATGTCTATATTGGAGTGAACGGCAATTTAGACTGTTCCTTACCACTGAAATTGAGCAGGTGAGTGTAGAAGAATGATTCGCGATGGAACTTCTCGATGTCCAGGATGGTCGAACCCTCCAAACTACTGCGCAGAGTCTTCTTTGAGCCGCTCTTATCAGCGACCAGAGACTCCAGCATTGTCCTGACCATATACAGCTACACAGAGGAACAGAAAGAGTAAGTCTTTTACTCTTCGCACATGCATGTTTAGCCACCCCTCGACAGACATTCACAGCTGCATTCTGCTCCGGTCATCTTGCCACAGGTGGACCTCTTTTGCATTCTGGTCTGAGTGCATTAACATGGTGATGGAGGGCACACAGTTTCTTCCCTGGAGCTTCCCTGGAGAAGTGGATGTGTGTCCGTGTAGCACTGTATTTAAATACTGAGAGGCTATGTTCACAGTTATTGTTTGGGTCAAATTGTCTTGAACAAAGTATGACAGGGATTTTTTTACACTAAACATATTTCATTAAAATCATAATACTTGTGAACTACCAAAAAAAATAAATAAAAATAAAATATTTACTCCTTTTTGTTCCCGTTTGAAAAACCCTTCAACATGAGACACGAATGGATCAAATTCTGTCTGTATGATCAAGGAGGTCTATAACAGTAAACTACCCACTGAGGTATTAGTCTAATTCTAAGGCACCAGAAACTGGTAATGTACACAAAGCCAAAATTTCAGGTCTCAATGCGACCCTAGTTCAGAGTTGTGAGCCTCTTGACAGAAACCTCTTATGGTGAAATTCAACCATAATCATACAGAGCTCAAGGTAATGACAGAAAAGCTTGAAATCAATCCACACTAACACAAAAACATTGATGAGTCAAAAATTAACATAAAAAGATTAAAAACAATGTGGCATGGGAACAATCCTCAACACGTACTTCTTCAAATTAAACTGACTGTTGAATCAGGACACATGTATGAATCTCTCTCAAAAATTCCAGTAGC